GCCAAACTCACTGCCATTGAGTCAATGCCGACTCACATTGACCCCACAAGACAGGTAAAACGGTACCTGTGTTTATGGGAGTAGAAAGCCTCACCTTTCGCTCTGGGAGTACCTGGTGGCTTTAAACTGTCGACCTTGCAGTTAACAGCCCACCAACTAGTTACTATGCCACCCAAGTCCACTTGGACCAAGGCTTCCACATTATCAGACGGTAAGTGATTGCTCTCTGGGGTCCCTGGGGGTGGGGTTACACACAGTGACGCTCATGAAGGCTGGCTGATAAGCAGGGGGCTCAAACCCACTCAAGGGCCCTTGGAAGAAAGGCCTGGTGATCTGCCTCTGAAAGGTCACCACCTCTGAGAACCCCATGGATAGTTCTCTTCACACACAAGGTCACTGTGAGTTAGAAATGAACCAGGCAGCATCTGACAGCAGAGGCATTATCAGTGTAGGAGTCCCTGCGTGGGACAGATGGTTACGGTGCATGGCAGCTAACCAACAAGGCTGAGCATGCCCACAGGCACCCAGGAAGCGGTCTGGCGATCTACTACTGAAAAATCAACCATCGACCAAGAACCTGATGGAGCACAGTCCTATTCCGACCAGTATGTAGTCACCATGCATTGGGACGGAATTGAGGACAACGGGTAGACGGTCAGCAGCTTACAGGCAGTGCATCCTTTAGCCACCAAGCCAATTCCCACAGAGCAGACATTCGTCCCCACTCCACAGATGAGAACACAAGGGCTTAGAGAGCTGCAGTCTCTCCACCAGGGTCACACAGCTGGTCAGAGGCAAGGGCAGCATGGGGACTGTGTTGGAGTGGGGCCCCAGAGGGAACTGCAGGAACATTTCTGGAAGGGAGGGTGTAATCCCTCCCCCACACCAGACAAGTTTCTCACCTCCCTCTGGGTGCTCCCTCTGGGGCCAACAAATCATTCTTCCCGAAGCCGCCTGAAGTGCTCCAGCTGACCTTACCCAGTGGTTTCCACCCAGTGGACTCCAACCTCCCCGGGCCGGCCACTGCCAGGCTGCGGAACAGTTGGAGGAGTTCTGGAGACTCATGGCAGGTCGTGTTTTGTGCCCAAAATGAGGAAGGGGGTGTGGGCTAGGGGATGTGGGATGTGTGTTACTGTCCCTCCTACCCTGTACTAGATCATGAGCTAGAAGCTGGGACCACAGAGACAAAGTACAGTCCCTACCTCACAGCACACACATATCAGGACTTTGGAGACCAAGTGCCAAGTGATGGGGGAGTGCTCACAGGGCTGCAAGACCAGGGAAGGGAGCACGGGGGACAGCCTGTGGGGAGCTGGGGTTTGGAGACTGAGTAAGGGTTCACCAAGAGCAGTGGGGAGGACTGAAAAGGTATAAAGAAGCAACACAGGTAGAAAAATGGCAGTATTCCCAAATAATTGGTGCTTTGGAGGTATGTAAGGAGGAATGCAGTAATAAAATGGATAAATGAAGGAGCTGATATTTGTAAAACATCTTCCAGGGTCTGTGGGAGGGCTTTATATGAGTCTCCTAAGGCTTACAATCTAGGTAACTTCAAACAATAGACATGTATTCTCAAGGACTTCTGGAGGGCAGAAGTTCAAGGTCAAGGCGTTGGAAGTGCTGTATCTGAAGGCTCCGGGGGAAGACCCTTCTTCAGCCAGCTTCTGGTGGCTCCAGCCATCTCTTGGCTTGTGGCTGCATCCATTCCCACCTCTGCCTTCCTCTTCACCATCCCACCTCCTCTTCCATCTCTCGTCTCCTCTGTAGGTCTTCATAAGGCCTCTTTTATTGGCTTTAGGGCCCGCCTGCATCATCCAGAAAGTGCCCTGCTGCCATAGTGGTTATGAGTTGGGCCATTAACTGCAAGCTCAGCAGTTCCAAACTCCCATCAGATCCTCCGGAGAAAGATGGGGCTTTCCAGTCTTGTAAAGAGTTACAGTCTCTGAAACTCACAGGGGCAGCTCTACCCTGTCTTACAGGACTGCCGAGTCGGCATGCACTTGAGGGCAGTGATTTCGGAGACTTGCATGATGCAGGGCATCTTATTTTACCTTTTCCTTTCCCCTCCCTTCCCGGAGGCTCTGTCCCAGGGTCCTGTGTGGTCCTCGGTTTATAATTATTTTCAAGTTCTTTGCTGGTCCGTTGTCTGATTCCCTCCACTACTGGGGGCTCCTTGTGGCAAGAACTGCACCGTCATATCAGGCTCCAGGGCCCTTTGAGGACATGGGCTGAGTGAAAGGACCAGGGAATGAGTGGGGGAACAGGTAGGTAGGTGGGGAACAGGGAGGGCGTTTAATGTGGTGAGGATCACTGCGCTAAGGAAACACTCAAATCCAATATCGGAGAACTAACAAGTTGTTTATTTCTAGTCCCACGCTGTTAAATTCAAGAGGTGAAACCAAGGGTTTTAGAACATCTCTGAGGACGGAGGTTATATAAACCGAGTCAATAAATATCGATGTGGAGGCAGGCTTTCTTGTGCGCTGGGCTCTGGAGGGAAGTGGGGGTTCTCTGCCCGGAGCTTGGAGCCACCCCTTCATGGAGATTAAACCAGCAGGGGTGGGGCGGGGGGGGGGGGGGGGGGGGGGGGGGGGGGGGGGGGGGGAGCAGGGAGGTGATTCTCACTCCCCATACCCACCTGGAGGGGAGAGGGAACTCTGAGCAGTCCTCCTCTGGCCGGACCAAGTCAGCGAGCTCGGGGAAGAAGGCTGCGGGTCGCCTGAATTCAGGAAAGTGCAGGCTGTGGGTGTGATGCCCTTCCTCCACAGAGAACAAAGCAAGCCCCACGCAAAGCGGAACAACCCCCCGCTGGTCAGGTGACTCTCCCCGCTGACGACACCCACGTGTCAAGAGCAGGGCTGCATTTCATGGTGTTCTCAGTGGCTGGTTTTTCAAAAGTAGATCACCAGGCCTTTCTTCCAAGGCTCTGCGGCGTGTGGGCTCGAACCTCTGAGCAACCCACCGCCCAGGGACTCCACTCACCTCCTAGACCTTTTCAAATGGCTGACTCCTTCCCGCCACGGCTCACCCCTACCCGCTCCTCCAGCTGCCATTAAATAGACTTCCGCTCTCAGCAGCAAGCCTGCAGGACAGAGCGCAACTGCTGCGCGGGATTCCCTGGGCTCTGCATCCCTATGAAGTCGCTCTCCCATGTGGCTGCTGGTGCTTCCGCTGCTTTTCAGCCCACAGCTGACCACTGTTACCACTGTGCCAGGAAGGCTCCTTTCCACAGGTCACCCAATGCATCGCTGGCCCCTAGCCTCGTCCCCCACACACCTCACCCGTGCTGCCAGAGACCTTGCTCCAAAGCATCTTCCTGATCGTGTGTTTTCCCTCTCAAAGCCTTCAGGGGCTCCCTGTTGTTGCCTTTGGGCTTCATCAAGTCCAAGTTCCCGAGACTGCTCCTTTATTAAACCTGGTATCTTCCCACCCACCTGGCCCCCACCCTCCATCCCCGCCCAGGTCCCCGCCCTCTGGGCCCACCTTTGCAAACCCTGTCCTGTTTCTAGACTCAGCCCTCTTCTCTCCAGCTTCTATTGAATGGCAGGGTGAGTTCTTTGCCCAGGACGTTCACGCTCCTCCTCCTGCGACATCCTTTATTCTTCTAAAGAGTCACCCTCTGTTGTCACCTCCCCTGGCCTTGCCACGGAGTTCCAGCAGCGCCAAGGTCCCGCCCCTGAGCTTGAATGAGGACTGGCAGGGCTGCAGTTGGCTGGGTTACATCAGGAGAAAATAGTCCCTGATGGCTACAAAGAGGTTGGGAGGCCTGAGCAGGGCAGGAGCAGCTAGGGGCGCAGAGGCTGAACAACCCCCCAGGGATAGACTTGGGTGGGGGGAGGAGGGAAGCAGCAGGAGAGGAACTTTCTGAAGTCGGACAGGAAAGTACTGCGCCCCCAGCGGCCGTTGGAAACGCCACGTGAAGAGAAGTGCTCTTTGGCAGCCCACTTCGAGTGGTGCCGGGACACGGGCACACTGCCATGCCTCTGCCTGCCCTTACGGGGCCCTTGGTGCCTTTTTTTGCCCCGCCGCTGCCCTCTGGAGCTGCATCATTGCTGTTAAATGCCGCGGACTCGGTTCTGACCCATTGCAACCTTATTTATGTGCACCAGCCTAGGGGAACACCGGCCGGCTCTCTGTGCCATCTTCCCAATTGTTTCCACGTTCGATACCATGGTTTCAGCTGTGTGTCCATCTATCCCGCATATGGATGGCCTTCCTCTTGTTGGCTGACACTTTTACTTTATGAAATTAGATGTCCTTCTCCAGGGACTGGGTTCTTCCAGCAACAGGTCCGGAGTTCCTGAGATGAAGTCTGGCCAGTCTCGAATCCAAGGGAGCATGCTCACTGTACTTCTTCCAAGGTCGCTCCGTGTGTTGATATAATTTGAAGGCAGCATGGGTGGGTAGGTTCTGCTGCTCAGGATATGGAGGGATGTGGGGGAGGAGAGGAAGGCCGGGAGGACATGATGGCAAGAGCTTTGATCTCAGTGGAGGCAGAGGTGGACTTGACCTTTCCTGGCATGGAGAAGACGCAGCCGGAGCAGGGAGGAGAGGAGCGGCTCAGCGCCCCATGTTGTGTTTCGGGCGTCTATTAGATGCCAAGTGGAGGAGAAATAAGCAGTTGGAAATCATTGGAGTTTGTAATTAAGCAGTGGGGGTGGGGCTGGAAGGCAGTAAACATCTTAACTAATGGCTTAATGATCACACCCCCCTCTCTGCACACACACCTCCAGTTAGCTGGAACAGTAAAACGAGGGTGGGTTTACATGGAGGGGGGGGGTCCAGGGGACCTCAAGAGTAGCCCACAGAAGCAGGAAGCTGTGGCCTACAAAGTGCGCCTGCTCTAGGTCACACTGACAGCCAGCGACCGAGCCAAGGCCAAGCCTGTTCTTCAGCCCCCAGACCCGACACTGTCTAACGGATCTTCTGTCTCTGCTCTCTGTCCGTGGGTGGGAAGCAGCAGGTTGTGGCTGATGCATCTCCATTCTGTCTCCCCGCAGGTCACCATCCTGGTCAGCCTGGCCCTCGCTTTCCTCGCCTGCATCGTGTTCCTGGTGGTTTATAAAGCCTTCACCTATGACCACAGCTGCCCGGAAGGATTCGTCTATAAGGTAAGGGGCTTGCGCCAGGTTGAGTGACTCAGGCCACTGTCAGTTTGCCTTGGAGGGCTTGCTAATGCCTCTTGTTCCTTAGCATCTATGGGCATGGCAGCCTCCCCACAGTTTGTTTGAAATGTAGCATGTAGGAGGCCCTGGCAGTTATAAATGCTTAAGCGCTGGGCTACTAACCAAAAAGTTGTTGGTTCGACTCCATGGCAGTGGGTTTTGAGAGGCACCTTGGAAGAAAGGTCTGGCCATCTGCTCTGGAAAAGCCACGGATGAGGACATGGGGTGGAGTGATTCTGCTCTGCAATACCTGGGCTTGGTTTAGGTTTTATGTGTCTGATTAAGCTTTTATGAAGGATAAATCCACCCAGAACATTTTTTCTTAAAGAAAGGCCTCATGATCTACTTCTAAAAGATCACCCACACACCCCCAAAACAAAAACAAAACCCCAAACTCTTCGCCACTGATTTGACATGAACTCAGTGATCTTATAAGAACTTCCCCCGTGGGTGTCAAAGACTGTAACTCTTTACAGGAGTAGAAGCCCCATCTCTCTCCCAAGGAGCAGATGGTGGTTGTGAACTGCTGACTTTCAGTTAGCAGCCCAACACATAACCACTATGCTACCAGCACTCCCCCTGAAAGATCACAACCATTTACAATCCCACGGAGCCACCCATGTCTACTCAGGCACACACAGGGCTGCCATCAGTTGGAATCAACTTGACCAGAAGAAATTCTCTTGATAAGAATCAAATACACCCTCAGTCTCAATGGCTTAGCACAATCGAGGTGTATTTATCTCCTTATTACTCACTCACTCACTCACTCACTCACTCACTCACTGTTGCCCAGGGCTGATGCCACTGACTGACTTTAGGTCCTTCAGGACCCCGGGCTCTTCAATTCCGGGGTTCTGCTTTCTTTCAGGGAAAGTTTGCCCAACTACAGCACCACTGACATCCTTCATTGGAAGGGGGGTGGGGCGTGGGGCGGTGCCTGTACATTGTGGGATGCTTAGCAGTGTCCCCAGCCCTTTCCTACTGCAGAGCGATAGCATCCCGACTGCTGGTCCCAAGTTGTAACCAACAGTGTCTCCCGACTTGCCAGCTGTCCCCTGGTGGTGACTATCACTACTCTAGGGCCTGGGAGCCAGGAGCAGCCCCCAGTAGGCAGTCGATGGGCAAAGACAAGATGTGGTCACCTCTTATCACTTCAGAACAGATGGAGTGGTCATCTTTCACTTCCATTCCACTGGCCACTGAGCCCCATAATCCCTGCCAAGAGGGATGGGAAGTGTAGTCCCTGTCCCGGGCAGGTGCCCTCGCACAATGGTTCCACGTGGTGGGAGAACAGTAAAAGCTGGTTGGCCAGCTGGCCATCTCCACTACATCTGGCCAGCCTTCCATCACAAGTCAACTGCTTTACTTGCAATTCCGAATTTACTCCTCACCTTGGAGGCTGTGTTAGCCGGGAAGGGACCTGAGGCTCAGAGGAGAGATGCGACTTATTCTAGGGCCATTGACTTAAATTGGGCTCCTTAGAAGCAGAGCCAGCGATGGAGAGTCTCATGCCAGTGATTGATGGACAGAGAGCCCTCAGGAGGATCCTGGGAGAGAGGGAAGCAGGATGGGCCAGAGAAGAAGCATCGGGGCCACTTGGGCATATATGAAGGCCAGCCTGACCCTGTCCTGTAGCCCGAAGAACAGCCCAGGGCCACCTGCCTTGAAGCAAGGGGCTTTCAGATTTTCTTGCCCAGCATCTCCCAGTCTTTAGCTTTTGGCATCCCTGGGAGAGAGATGACACAACCTGTAAATCATGTCTCAGGGAGGTGGCTCCCTGTGGCTGCAGGCAATGCCCAGGGAAGTAATTGGGGATTAGCAAATAAGCCTGATAACGAGCTTCTAGTTTGGTACCCAGAGCATCCCCCACAGCCAGGGAACAGAGACGCTTGGCTTTGAATCAGTATCAAGACCAGATTCTTCTCTTCCAGGGTCAAATAAGTGCAGGTGTGATGATGGTGCTGATGTCGGGGAAGGCGTGGCCCCCAGGTGACAGGCTGTGGCTCCCAGGCAGACCCGCTGCTCTGCAGGGGAGGCTGCTGAATTCCCGCTGACTCTCTCTCCTTCTTCCCCAGCACAAGCGCTGCATCCCGGCCTCCCTGGATGCGTACTACTCATCCCAGGACCCCAACTCCAGAAGCCGCTTCTACACGGTCATCAGCCACTACAGTGTGGCCAAGCAGAGCACCGCCCGGGCCATCGGGCCGTGGCTGTCCGCGGCCGCTGTCATCCACGAGCCCAAGCCGCCCAAGACCCAGGGCCACTAGAGGTCTACCCCAGCCAGAATGGGGGCGGAGAGGGGTCCCCTGGTTGGCTGAACCAAGTTCCAGTTACAAGACAACACTGTACTCCTGGGATGTGGGGGAGGGGGA